GGAATACATTCCATTTTGGCTCAGACCGTTGGCACCAATGTGCATACATTGCGATAGTCAAGCGGCAATTGGAAGGGCTGGGAGCGTTATGTATAACGGTAAATCTCGTCATATACGACGAAGACATAAAACCGTTAGGCAATTACTCTCTAGAGGAGTTATCACGATTGACTATGTAAATTCAAGTGATAATGTGTCGGATCCACTTACAAAAGGCCTAACTAGAGAGGTAGTTGAGAAATTATCAAGGGGAATGAGACTATGGCCGAGAACAAGTCATAGTGGTGGTAACTCTACCTAGAAGACTGGAGACCCCAAGATCTAGGTTCAAGGAGATCAAACAAAGTCATTAATGACGGTTCAACATTGTCAACTAAACTTTTGGTCCATTCTCGTGATGAGACAATGTTCAGTACCAAGGATAAAACGTTAAGGCTTTTTAATGATTTCTAAATTTGATATGGGGTATATCAAATAGTGTATCTACGGGATGACACGTTTAGGAATCACCTATGTAAGTGTGAAGTGTTAGCCGCTTCAAGGAGAATTTTGCAAGGCCAGTTCTCTATGCACTTATGGAACCAGGCGGTGTTCATGGCTGAAACGAATGAAACAATGAGAACCAAAGATGGTTAAGGGTTGGTTGTGTGACTTATGGTTGTCTAGGTATACACCAAAGTTCGACGGTTCAAAGATATCAAATCTACCGATTGACCGAGTATATCCGACATAAGTTCAAAGGGAAACCTACTTATCCAGATGCAATTAATCCTTGCTTGCGAATCACACAGTTTTTCCATGCCTATTTCCATGATATAGCCATTTTCCATTCATGTGGGGGATTGTTGGGGTTTTAAGCATTAATGAGGCTTAAAAGAGGGTGAATGGAAAATGGAGGGAAATAAAAATTTTAAGTCCCCCCCCCCCCCCCCCCCGCGACAAAGTGACATTGTCCCATATTGGAAGANAAATGGAGGGAAATGAAATTTTTGAGTGAAATTTTAAGTTCCCCCTCCCTTGGCAAATGGGCATTGTCCCATATTGGAAGAGGAAGAGGATTTTAATGGGTATATAAGCAATTGCTCTTCTTCTAGCTCTTAAAGAGTTGAGAACAAGGCAAGCCTCGCGTCGTCGTCGTCGCTCGCTCGACTCAGCTTCGGCTTCGGCTTCGGCTTCGGTTTCGGCTTCGGCTTCGGATTCGGTCAAATGATCGATTCATTGATTAATTTTTTGGACCAAATTGGTTTGTTAATAGTAAATATTAACAGAAATGTTATTAAATATCTGTTTTAATAACAAAATATTAATATTAAATCCAAGAATATTAATATTAAAATCTAATTTCCGTTTTCTGTTTTGGTAACAGAAAATTAACTACCCTCTTCAATTTTTTCTCTTTATTTTCCCTCTTTATTGTTGAGTAAATAGCCATTTATGTTATGGAATTTATGTTGTGGCCATTTTGCATAAATGACCATTCTGAAGAGTTGCACCTCTTCAGATTTCAGCCCAACATTGGCTATAAATACAAGTCCATTCTCTCGGATTTCCTTACGAATTTCTGAGTTTCTCCTCCTTTCTTCTGCATACTTTTAACTTCAAAGAAAGCAACAGTAAGTGTGATTTGCTACCGAACTTTGTGTCCGCTGAAACATTGGGGTTTGAAGTACCACTACACCAGTGTGTAATTCGTACTATCCTGGGAGGAAATAATCCATAACCTTGGGTACTAGGAGGGGATTAAATACCTTAAGGGAACACTGTGAATTCAGTGGGCTCGGATTAACTCTTGTTTCTTTACATTTTATGTTTATATGTTATTCTGTTTTTTCCAGCATTAGTTTACAAACAGATTATTAACACCATATACAATTATAACTTATAATAAAATTAACTTACAGTTTTACATAAAAATAATATATGCACGAAAATTAATATCAAAATTATACGCCAAAATTAAGATGTAAAATTAATATTATAAAGATATTACATAAACATAATTAGATATATATAATATGATAAATTAAAAGAGTTAAATAATATTAAAAAAATAGATAATAGTGATGGAGTGAATGGATAGTGTTACTCCAATGACATTGTTCACCCTCAAATTGAAGGCAAAATTTGCAGCTGGTTGGAGTAAAATTCCTCCATTTTTGACTCCAAAATGGAGTTTGGATGTAAATATGGAGGTGGGTTGGAGATGGCCTTGGAGCACTCGCTTTTCAAGCAGAGGTCTTGAGTTCGACTTTCAACAAGAATATTTTATTTTGTGTATTTTGCCTTGATTGTATTTGTTGCGCAAGTGAATATAGCCGATACAGGTTGTATCATTTGTATACACTCTTATATTTCGCATAGGTTGTATTCGTTGCGCGAACGAATATGGTTGATACATGTAATATTCGTTACGCGAATGAAAACTGTTGACACGGGTTGTATTCATTGCGCATCTGAATACAAGTGATGCAAGCTGGTAACAATTGAACAGTAACCACAAATAGTAAATACATAAATTATAGTTATATATGATAATTACGCTCCAAACTATAGTGCTTTATGAAAATTTATCACAAAACAAAGGAAAAGGAAAGTTGGTCGGGCTAGCCTATGCACACTAGCGTTCATATGTAAAAATATCACGGGCTAGCCAGTTTTCGGACTGGTCATTGAAAAATAGCCAGTGTTTGCAAAGTCATTAAAAAATAGCCATTATTTTGTTGCAACACGAAAAATTCCAGCATAATATACTGGAGATCGCTGCACTACTATATGAACTTCCACCATATTATGCTAGAACTCCAACACGCGAAAAGTTCCAGCATAATATACTGGAGATTGGAGCACCTGAGTATGAACTTCCAGCATATTATGCTGGACCAATATATTATACTGGAAGTCCAGCATATTATAAATATACTGGAGTTCCAACATAAGTATACTGGAGTATTTTCTGGATTTTGATCAGTGTTTTCGTTCGGATTTATCTTTACATGAAAAGTGACTAAATTTCAATTACAATTAAAATTGTGGCTATTTTTGAATGACCACTTGTAAACCTAGCTATTTTTGTATTTCTCCCTCAAATTATTCAACATAAGAAGATCTAACAATATTCTAACCATGTTGTATCACTTTGGAAATAATATTCAGGCATTATTCTTTTGTTCTTTCAATTTTCCATAACGTGAAAGATAGGGGAAAAAGAGAAGAAAAGAAACAATAAAAATTAAACACATACCAATTACATAGTAGTAAACTGTAATCGCTATTACTAAACTATAAAAGGTCGTTTGGTACGAGGAATAAACAAAATAATTCAGGAATAAAAATTTATTACCGTTTTATCTCTTCTTTGATTATTAATCATGAGATAAATTATCACAAGATTAAAAATATTGGCGGAATAACTTAAACCTATCAGATGATGGAATAGTAATCCCATGATAAAACAATAAAATTGACAATCCCCGAATTATTATAACATATCAAACAATCAACAAAAAATAATATTAAGATAAATAATCGTAATATAACTAATCTGAGTATAATTTGTCTTCAAACCAGACTTATACAATGATTCGTGTGAATTATTTTAGGATCATTGAATCTCCCAAAAATCTCTAAACCGTTGCCAAGTTCGTTACTACCATTTTTTGGTCAATTTTCAAAATATTTCAAAGAATAAAACTTCTTTTATGGAAGTTTCTTCACATCGTGGGCTGCAGACAGCTTGTCTATAAAGGCGGCGGGTATTTTTATTCTGAGCCGTCTTTGGCCGGCTTTTGTTTTAAAATTTTTATAATTTTTATTTATTTTCCCTTATTGATTTATTCAGCCAAACCAGCTCAGTGGTCAAACTTCATCTTATCCTATCATTACTAATATAAGAATAGGTTTTATTTTATTTTATATTTGGATATAGTCACAGAATGAAGTGTAATTTTCTTTTACTTTACTTTTACAATAAGTAATTCAGTAGTTCACTTTAACATGAAAGGTTTTTCTTCTAGATTCCTTTCCTTTGCTAGAGGGATCATGAACTTGATTTTTTTTTTTTTCTGGTTTTATGCTCGATGTCTGGTATTCGTATTCGGGGGCGAAGGCAGAGTGCGGAATACGAGTTCGACCGTACCCAGTAACTTTGTTCAAACCATGTATTTTTCTTAAGAAATCTATTGAATATGCACAACTTATTAATTTAGAACGTAGTAACTTAAAATGACTACAATTCCGAACCCATAAGGTTCGAATCCTGGCTCGGCCTCTGTTCGCATTGGGGCTTAACTAAATTCGGATTTGCATCAGAAATTCTTATATTGGGGGAACGGGGGGTTGGGGAGGGTAAAACACTTCCTAACAAAGGTGATTTCAAGCTCAGAATTCATACCCGAAACCTCTTATTAAGTATAAAGGAGTAATTATCACTATACCACAACCATTTGGTGACATGAACCTAACTTATGACCTTGTGTACTTACATTTCATCTAACATCAACAAGTTTCACCATACATTATAACTTGAAAGTGCAAATTGGGTGGGTTTCTTATTTCAATAATGGAACAAATTAGTGGAACTTTTGCCTTTTTAAAAAAAAAAAAAAAAAAATTGGTAACATTTTACTTACAATAGGAAAAAGTTTTCTTTTCTGATTTTTAATCCTATCCAAAATACATTTATGCCTTACCTAAACATGAGATAAAATATATGGCTTAATGTCACATCATCTCAAAAGTTGTAACTATGATATTTCTTTTCACCAATTTTCTTACCAAGATAATTCAATACCTTTAATTAAGGGCAAGAGGCTCATGTTAATTTTAGAATTGAGGCATCCAAAATATTAAATAAATATCAAAGAATGTTAATCTAATAACTACATAAATTAAACTCTAACAATGAAAAAAAGTTAATTTTACCTCTATATAACAAATAAAGAAATATATATAGAACCAATCTCATGCACCATTTATACCATGTTAATTTTAGAATTGAGGCATCCAAAATAATAAATAAATATCAAAGAATGTTTATCTAAATGAACAAAAGAATTTTACCACTATATATAACAAATAAATGAAATATATATAAAAACCAATCTCATACACCATTTTCTCCCCTCTAATTACACATAAATCATAAATCACACACATCTTAATTTTTTCTTTTTTCTTCCAATAATAATTATCATAATCCAGCATTTCTCTGTGTATTATTATATATTATTATTATTATTATTATTATTATTATTAACAACAGAAAAGGGAGCAGGAGCTGCAAACCGAGTTGAGAAATTACGAAAAAGCCCATCATCATTTTCTTCAACTCCCTCGTCAAAATTCATTGCATAACTATCAGAATCATACTGAAACTGCTGTCCCTTAGATTTCTTGGAATTGCAATATTTCCCCATTTTCCTAACAAAATTTTTCCATTTAGGTCCAGCTACAAGTTCTGAATATTCCTTTAATTCCTTCATCTTTGTCACCATCCATGAGTCTCTGTCTTCCCCTTGTTGTTGTAACAGTGAATTTGCTTCACCTTCTTTTGTTTGAAAACAGGGGAATTTGAAACAACCACAAAAAAGTGAAGGTTCTTCTTGGTAAAAATAGTTTTCTGTTCCTTCTTGAGTATTTTCTCTAATTGGTGAATAATTGTTGTTCATCATCTTTACTTTTCTTGAAATTTCAGCAAAAAGTTGAGCTTGGTGTCTGTGTTTTGGGTTTTCGTTGCTTTGGTTGGGGGGGGGGGGGGGGGGGGTATATTTGGTGGGTATATACGTGTATATATGTTTAATTTTCTTGAAAATTCAGCAAAAATTCGATCTTGGTGTGTGTTTTGGGGGTTTTGGGGTGGTGGGGTTTTAGGGTTGAGGGGTGGGTAGGGGGAGAGGAAGAAAGATTAATGGGGGAAGAAGGAGAAAGATGGTGGGTATATATATTGTATATTGGTGTATATATGTAATATATATATATGGGTCCGTGTGTGTTTTGTGTGGGGGTGACGGGCAGAGAAAGGACAGAGAAATGGGGTAATTGATGATTTTTCTTTTGACTAGTAAAGGTTGATTATTTTCAGCAGTTATATGATTTCTCTGGTCAATTATGGAGTTTCTTAGTTGTCATTTTCATGAGGATACTTAAGGGTTGTACTTAATATTTTCTTTTATGATAACGGTATATATTTGTTACATTTTCTAGAGATTAAGGGAAAGTTTTTTTTTTCTCGTAGAGCATAGGTGGTCTCAAACAATATATAAAGAAAGTTGCCGTAGCAGCAGCGGCGGAACTAAAATTTTTATTAAAGAAAGCTAAAATAAAAATAAATTTTTTAAAAATATTTTAATATATACTACTGTAATTTTCCAATAAAAAAATTTGTATTTGCATTCTAAACGAAGGTGAAGTTTCTCTTATGACCTTTTTATAGTTACTTATTCTTTACAGTCAATTCATAATAATTGGATGAGAATTGAAAGGAAAGTACCTTGAAAACTTTTTAGGCTCGAAAATGCAAACGAAATTAATTTTGGTCTTTTGGCACATCTCTCTAAAAATAAAAAAAAAATAAAAAAAAAGGCAGCACGGTGCACTAAGCTTCGGTTATGCACGGGGTCCGGGAAAGGGCCGGACCACAGGGGTCTATCGTATGCAGTCTTACCCTGCATTTTTGCAAGAGGCTCTTCCATCTTAATTGTATAGTATATAATGAGAAAATGACATT